AACTCCACATACTTTGCAGAGGTCATCTTTACACCTTTGGGGACCCTAAAGGGGCCAACCAGCTCTCTTCCCATGATTCTGGCCCAAAACATGACTCCACCACCGTCTTGCTGACTTCGCAACTTTGTTGGAACAGGGTGGCCGTCCACCAACCATCCACTACTCCATCCATCTGGACCATCCAGGGTTGCATGGCACTCATCAGTGAACAGGACTGTTTGAAAATTAGTCTTCATGTATTTTTCTGCCCAATGCAGCCATTTCTGCTTGTGAGCATTGGTTAGTGGTGGCCGAATAGAATGCACAGTTTATGCACAGTTGCAAGACTCTGGAGGACTCTACACCTTGATGTCCGTGGGACTCCAGAGGCACCAGCAGCTTCCAAATATGTTTGCTGCTATGTAATAGTATTTTAGCAGCTGCTCTCTAGATCCGATGTATGGATCTGGCAGAAATCTTCCTCAATGTGCCTTTATCTGCACGAAACCGTCTGTGCTCTAAATCAGCCATAAATCTCTTAATAGTGTTATGATCACGCTTAAGTTTTTGTGAAATATCTAATGTTTTCATACCTCGTCCAAGGCATTGAACTATTTCACTCTTTTCGGTGGCAGCAGAGAGATCCTTTTTCTTCCCCATATTGCATGAAAATGGTGCTCTGCTTAATAATGTGGAACACCCTCCTTTAGTAGTTTTTCCTTAAATAAGGCTCACCTGGCAATCTAATTATCACAGGTGTCCGAGATTTTCAGTGATCAAAAGAGCCCTGAGACACAATGCCATCCATGAGTTAAACTGAAAAATAAAATATATTTTATATTTAATAAAATATTTAATCTTTGTGACACTTAAATAGAATTTGCATAATAATTTGGAACAGGGTGTACAGCACGCAAAAACCCCCCCATAAAAATAAGAAAAAGAGTAACACTTAAAAAACAAGGTGTAATGTTACAAAGCTATTCTATGCTAAGCCATTACCCTCCTCTGCACATGACCTTATAGGTTCAGGTCCCCGTACTGACTAGATATCTCTCCCCTCCCTCTTGATGGCACGCCGCTGTGAAGGCCCTGAAGCACAAGCATCTCAGCTACTCTATACCAAGTGTTTTGGTTCTTACCGTGTCTACAAAGGGCTTTTTCTGAGTTCTTACCTCCCCCCCACCCCACCTCTGAGCATGCGACACACGGGTGGCTGCCTCGGGCTAGACGTTCTCCTGACCCCCTTACATGGTCCTTAAGATTGTGTTCTTGAATGTTAAGGGCTTCAACTCCCATAGGAAGAGGCACCTGCTCTATAAGGAATTAAAACTTTCCTCCAAGCGTCTCACCTGCCCAAGACCTCCCACATTGTTTAAAGAGAGAGGAATTTTGACAGATTATATGCTTCCTAGATCATTTCGTAAACATAATGGAGTTGAAATTCTTATTCATAAGAAATTTAATCTGCAGTTCACATAGTCCAGGTCAGACTGGGATGGAATATACCTGTGCCAGACTGGCACAATAGGGATGCAAACGATTCACTTAGTAAACATATACGCCGAACGTAGCAGACCGCCAATTTTGGAGAGACCTGGGTGACCTAGTGAGGCCTCTTAGCGTAGGGTTCTCGATGATAGGAGGGGACTGTAATGCTACTCCCTGTTCTGCGGCTGACAGGAGTGCTTCTTCTGGGACTAAGCGTTCCAATGGGATGGGGCAAATGACAAACTACTTCGAAACTTCATAGACGACTGTGAATTAGTAGATATCTGGAGGGTGCAACTACACATTCTACTTGGCCCCACATGGGACGTACTCCCATATCAACCTTTTCCTGGTCTCATGTAAAACAATTCCAGTAGTCCAGGCAGCGGACTCTTGGACGTACCACGCGGACATACACCTCTCAGTGAGAGGTTTCCTGACCCCAACACGATGGACGTGGCAGCTGAACAACTCACTGTTGAAAGACAGCAAGGTCATAACAGAGCTTAACACAGCGCTAAGGGAGTACAAAAGTATAAATAAACTAACAGGGCGCCACAATCACTAAATTGGTATATGTGAGGGGAAGAACCATATACAAAAATATATATGAGAGATATCTGATATCTGGATAAAAATAGTAATTTATTGATACAGAATTAATAGAATAAAAGCACAATAATAAGTGCCCAAACATATAATAAACAGGAACCCATAGGTATAGCAGCTCACTAATACATAATGCTGAACTGGGCAATAAAGTGCAAATGCTAAAGTGCAAAGTATAGTGTTAAAGTGCAAATGCTCGAATACAAAGTACTAATACCGAAAGTGCACCAAGCCAATAACACATTTGCATACAAATAGCCCAAAGATAAAAAAAAGTAGTCAGCACACATAAACAATAAAGCCGCTGATACCACAATGCAGGGTCCCAAATAGTGGTCAATGCTCAACGCGTTTCGTCGTCAGACTTCCTCAGGAGCTTCTTCCATCTTCCTCCATCTTCTTCCTTTTAAATCTGCTGGTCTGTCTGCCGGCTTCCGTGATTGCGCATGCGTCCATGCGTCACCATTCATAACGTCATACGTCATGACGCATACGTGGCCGATATGCGCATGCGCAACCACGGCTGACCGCAAATAAACTTTATTGTTCATATACACAGTAGCATTGAGTGATCTATAAAAAGAACGCTCTAGAGAGATGCAGACCGGATTCACAAGACCTTCCTACCCCCCTGCTAACCCCTAAACAGAGGAATACTAAGTGTACAGAGGGGGAAATATAAATCAGACAAGTGGGCTAAAGGAAAAAAGTATGGAAGAAAAATATGGAAAAAAATATAAAATACAAGACAAAAAAATGAAAAATATAAAGAATATATATTAAGGATAAAGGTGATAAAAAATAAGTCCATTTATATTTCCACAATATCCATCATAATCAAATAATATACATAGAACTTACAGTGATAGATCATCTATATGATGATACCAATATAGATGTACACAAATGAAAAAACATATCAGGATGTGGACAAATGCATAAAACATCATCCAAAATTTTATATAAATACTAATGGTGAAAGATGAAGGCATATAAATTCAAATAAAGTGCGATATTCACATATACATATCTTATTACAATATGTGATAAAAGATGAAGACATAAAAGATGAAGGCATATAAATTCAACATGTGATGACATAAAATTGATATAAAAAATCAATATAAAAAAATGTATATAAAGGAGGATAAAATATATGTAAAAATATATATATAAAAAACATATATATATAAAAAACATAAAAAGAGGTCAAAGATAAATCGCCATACAATCAGTTTATAAATGCTAATATATCCAAATCGGTATTCATTCCTGAGGGAACAGAGGATTTCATTTTATATATCCACTCTGTTTCTCTCATAGCTAACCTCTTTTCCGTATCCCCACCTCTCCAGTGAGGTAAAACCATATCGATCCCAATACAAATAAAATCCTTAAAATCAAAATCTTTACATGTATTGCAATGTCTAGGTACACTATGTTTCTCGTTTCTATTCTTGATCCCATTAAAATGTTCAAGCAATCTAATGTGTAATTTTCTAATCGTCCGTCCAATGTATTGGACCCCACATTTACACTGTAACAGGTATACCACAAATTTACTATGACAGTTAATGAAATGTTTTATTTTAAAAGTTTCTTTAGTCACCATAATAGAAAATTCTGTGATCTTATTCTTCTGAAATTTGCATGTGCTACACCTACCACATTTGAAGAAACCATTAGGCCTTTCTATTAAAAAAATTGTCTTCTCACTCTCAACTGTTTTTTTAGGCAAAATGCTAGGAGCTAAAATATTCCTCAATATTCCTTTTAATAGAAAGGCCTAATGGTTTCTTCAAATGTGGTAGGTGTAGCACATGCAAATTTCAGAAGAATAAGATCACATCCTCACTGACACCCCAGTGGTAGATGCGGCCACGGTATGGTCCGCCCACAAGGCAGTTATCAGAAGACTTCTAATCAAAATAGCTACTCACAAAAAAAGACTCAAAACCCAGAACATCAGCGACCTACAGGAGGCGCTCCTGTGTGGTATATTACCAAACTCTATCAATAATTATATAAACATACACATATAAACTGTGGTCTGTCTACTTTAACAAATATTTATTCAGAGACAAAACAACAACAAACAAATAATGACTCACAATCTAACTAACTATACCAACCACAGCAACAACAATCTAACATTAACAACCAAATCTTGTAAAGTCACCAGATCCCTCTCACAGTTCACCATTATAAAAATTAGCCCATGTCTGCTCAGTAGCACAGCAAAGAAGAAACAGGAAGGAATGAGAATAGGGGGAAGTGGTTTTCTCTTTCCTGACTTGTAAAGGTATTGAATTACCTAATTACCATACCAAAGAGTAAAGCTTATCCCCCTGTAAGAAAGGCACACATGAGCTTGGTCACATGACCCCTGGTCACCATATTAGTTTGATGACAAAATGTCACCACATTCCCTCAATTTTTCTTCTCTTATGTTGAGCACATTTAAAAATAATAATATATCCCTCGTATCTATCTAAACTATGAGATCTGAAGTAGGAAAGGGGCGCACAGGAAGTATAGTGAGTGAGATAAGCAAGGTGGAAGAAAACAGTCAAATAGGGGTTGCATCACCCCACACCCTGATCCTCAGTCTTTAGAGGCATTGAGAGGGATTTGGACCAAGCTCAAAAGGGCCCTTTTAGATGGAGTAGCCCAAGACATGACCTGGTCCCACAGGTTTTATTTAGAAAACGCTAACTGTATGGATACTTTTCTAGCCCGGACGTTAAGATCACAGACACGATCAAGACTTATTGTAGCCCTGAGACACCCAGAGAGAGGAATAGTCACCACTCCAAATGACATAGATAACTTCTTCACAAGCTATTACAGCTCATTATATAACCACTCTCTGACCCATACAGCAGAGGACGCTGCCTACAGCAATTCTGGACAATTCTGGAGCAATTCATGGACAGATCTCGGATGCCTTCTCTGCTCCTATCTCAGGACACGGAGAAGGCGTTCGACAGGGTCAAATGGCCATACTTATTTACGCTTCTGAGGCACTGGGGCTTTCCGGCCCCGTTTGTGAGCGCCGTAGGAGTCCTCTAGAGACCTGCGGGCAACGTGTAGTTCTCCCTGGGGAAGGTGGCAACACATTTCCTATAAGTAATGGAACCAGGCAGGGGTGTCCCTTGTCTCACCTTCTATTCGCCATCGCACTGGAACCATTTCTGTAGCGGATAAGAGAGGCCCCAGAGGTATGAGGGGTGAGGGTCGGCTTATGCCGACGATGTCACACTCATGATTTCGGACCCACTGGTGTCCCTCCCCCCTCTGATCTGATGAGGGAATACAGTCAAATATCTGGCTATAGGGTCAACTTGACCAAGTATAGTGCAATGCCGATCCACCTGTCTGCCGCTGATGAGGAAACAGTCAGATCCACAACGCAACTACGTCTCACAGACTCTATCAAGAACTTAGACATCTGGGCCACCAAGGATAGGCAGGCCCTACACAAAGCCAACTATCATTCCTTGTGCCAAGCCATTAAGAGGGACCTAGAGGCCTGGGACTCCAGGCCGATTTCATGGATTTTATGCATAGCATAAAAATGAATGTTCTCCCCCAGCTCCTCTTCCTATTCCAGGCGCTACCCATACCACTATCCAACACATAGACACCTTCATTTGGGATGGTAAACGGCATAGGTTTACTAGGAATATGTTATATAGACCAAAGACCAACAGGGGACTGGGCCTGCCAAATCCCCTTATGTAATATTATGTGGCTCAGTTAGCTCAGATGGTGATGTGGTACACTGCCCCAGGAGAAAGACCATGGGTGGACCTAGAATCACAGCTTATGGGCTCGGAAATCCCAATGTTTTATATGTGGCCTGCTAAGTCCCAACGAGCGCTACTTAGAACTGAATTCCCGGGTATACTCACCTTCCTGACTATATGGGACAAGATTAGATATAAATATGGCCTCAGCTTTGACACTTCTCCGCTGACTCCGTTATTACGGAACAAAGACTTTCCTCTGGAAATGACTTCCCCAGGGATTTGGGAACTTAGAGGACCCAGGCACTTCCACTTATGCCAAAATAGACACCCTGAAGCAGAGAACCTGACTGAACAACCACGAATACTTCTGATACCAACAAATCAGGGACTACGCCCAATGGGAGAAGGTCATATGGACGAGGGAGACTAGTCCCACTCTTTAAAACTCTCTGCCATCAGGGAAAATGCATAAAGGGACTAAGTACAGATATCTATATGGAGATCTGCTCAAACACAGATATGTGGGGCTCCCTATGATATATAGAACATTAGGAGGGGAGATTGATGGAGACGAGTGGCAGGACATGTGAAAGCCGCAGCAAAGGTCTGTGTGCATGACCTCACAAGAACAGATATACAAGATCCTCTTCCGGTGGCACACCACCCCCACACAGCTGCTCAAGATGGGCGTATGCCCCTCAGATTATTGTTGGAGGATGTGTGGAATGAAGGAGACGTACCCCCATATGTGGTGGTTCTGCCCCATTCTGGAGTGATATAGGGACCCGTTCGAGCTGGACCCCTGGTTGTTCTTGCTTTCCAAACCCTTAGAGGGTGGTCTGACCCATTGTGAACAGAAACTAGCGGCGAGACAAGTCTTGGAAGCTCACTGGCTGCAACCCTCATGGGCGAGCGCTAAAATCGAAGAAAACCACTTAATGGACCAAGTCACAGCGACCCTACATAACTCCCTGACCTTGTTCCTAAAGGTATGGGAACCCTGGCATGCCTAAAAAGGTAGTGTGACCCTCCCATTGCGGTGGTACCCTGGCTACTCTGAGAATCTGTCTGGTGCCCCAATGCCCACTGAGATACACACAACCTGCGGAGAATCACATAGTGGGCGATATTAATTGAGGGAGTTCTGAAGGGCAGAGGATTGGGGGCATCGGGGGAGGTGGGAGCTGGGAGAGGGGAGGCTGCCCTTTAAACAGAATCTCGTACCCCGCCCCCAGCGAGACGATTTCTAGGAGTAGAAGAGCACCCAAGCGTTAGACAGTACTTTGACCACGTACTAGATGACCCCAAATAACACTCATAGGTCCCAACTGATGTTCTCCCCCCCATATCTACCTACCCCTTTTTCTTTCTTCTTCAAGTTAATACCTGTAACTTTGATCTAGACGATCCAAAGCGAGTAACACAGCCATAGACCACGTTAATAGGCTTACCTGTAAACACTCGACAGAAATTATAGGATATAACATGTTTGTTTTGTTACTACTCGTTATCCTTAATGTATATGTTTTGTTAACTTATTTTTCTATAATATAACAAAAATCTTGCCGTCTGATTGCATGCTGTTCATGCTGACAAGTCTGAGAATCCTGTACAAAAGTTGCAGTTCTATTAGACCTCTTAAACTGCAATATTGTTTGTTAGACGTATAATGTGATCATGCTGTCAGCGCAATGTAATGTGCACCTTGATTACTGTCTGCCGGCAAGCTAAAATAAAGAATAAAAAAAGTGGCGATTTGGCTATATTTGTGGGATCTAAGCGCATAACATATCCAAAAAGTGCTCAGATCCCACAAACACAGCCAAATTGCCACTGGGGTAAAAAAGTTTTTTATTATTATTATTATTATTATTATTAATTTTGGCTTGTAATCAAGGTGCACATTACATTGTGCTGAAAGGCTATCCGGAGATATAGTTCTATTATATCTGTTTTGGGGTGTACCTGAGAGATAATTAAGTTATAGTATTTTTTCATGCAATTATCCCTCAGGCACAGAGGATCTTGGGAGAAAAGACCCTGTATTTTTGTGTGAGAAACCCCATGTAGGGGTCTATGCATAAAAGGCTGTGTGTGTGGGGGGGCGTGGCCTGACCGTGAAGGAAGCTGGACGGGTCTGACTAGAGCTACGCTCCGACCACGCTGCAATTAGCCCACAAAAGCAATTAAAATACGCGATAACCCTACCGATGGAGAAGCGAGAACCTAAGAAAGTACCCAAAAGAGGACCAGATGGAAACAGCACAGTGGTGGCCTCTTTGCCGCCCAGAGAGCCGGTCAACACGAGAATCAAGATGGCGCAGGAGAGGGCTTATCATCACAACTGCCCTCGCCACGTGCGGCCCTCAGCGACGACACGGCCTCTGGCAATGCAATACAGATCCTGGCAAAATTAGTCAAGAACCTCACGCACCGCATGGCAGAAGCGGAATTGATGATGGAAGATATGGCCAACAGATCGAGGCATAATAACCTCCGCCTGCAAGGCCTACCAGAGAGGGAGAATGAGGCCCCAGTAAGAGACCTTGTGCTAGAGGTGTTGCGGCCCCTGCTGCCTGATCTTCTAACAGACCAATGGACTATAGAGAGGGCGCACAGGGCCCTGCGTGTCCGGAGGGCGGACACAGCCTCTCCAAGGGACTTCGTAATACGCTTCCTACATTATCAAACGAAGGAGGCCCTACTGCGGAAGAGCCGGGAAGGTCCCATAAAATACCCAGGAGCCAAAATCACCCTATATCAAGATCTGGCTCCCAGCACCTTACAGTGCCGACAGGAATGGAGGCCCATAACCAAAGTCCTACGATGGGCCAGGATAAGATACGCATGGGGCTTCCCTTTCAAAATCCTGGCATTCAAACATGGCCGAACGCATGTCCTCGCACCCGGCGGAGACCCACAACAATTGTTCCGAAGCCTGGGGTTGCAACCACCACTCAACCTACCTGCAGTGCCCGCAGTGACGGAAGAACTGAGCAGCTTACCCACGGAGTGGCAGGAGGTCGGAGACGTGAGGCATCAGCGGCACTGAAGGATATTGTATGAAAGGGGCAGGGTCCGACTACAGCTAATTGGGGACTGCACATACCTGCAGGCGAATGTAGGAGACTGAGAGGGGACTTCTTTGGGAGGGGGTCTTTTTTGCGATGGCAGGTGGCGGGACACCCCTGGGGGTTCATAACAGGCCACCAAGCTCTAGACCGTGCCGCAATGAGACTGGAGGGTTAATGGGCCGAGCGGCAAATTTGGGAGGGGACAGGGATGCCCTGGCCGAAGATCAACAGGCCTGGTCCAGTTCTGGACACGATGCTCTGAAGGGGACAAATTCTTATATTGGGACGCTTCAGGGACTTCCATATGTTCCCAGGACAATATGGTTATATCAGCCACGGAGGCTGGGCCCCAGAGAACCTGGAGTATTTAGGTATCTTGCACCCTAGACGATAAGGGACACACTAGCAACTTTATAACCACACACGTTTCCTGCCGCAGAATTTTTATAGTATTACAAGCAAAAGGGCCTTGGTGGCCCCGCAGACATCCACCCAAGACTACGTGGAATCACAGTGGGGGGAAGGGAGTTCCTAGTCTCGGCATACGCCGACGATGTGCTATTGACTCTTACGAGCCCAGCCCACTCCATGGCAGCATTGCAATAGGCCCTCCAGAGCTACAGGGAGATTTTGGGTTACAGTTAATATGTCTAAGTCTAGCGCACTCCTGGTGGGTATGTCGGCAGTGGACGCGGCAGCGATAGGGGACGAACACACCATACAGATCGAACACACCTCCATTAAATATCTAGGAGTACGTTTGACCGCGGACCCTGAAAAATTGTTTCACTACAACTACACCCCATTAATGAAAACCCTAACGAGAGATCTCGAAAAGTGGCTGGATAAGCCGATATCATGGGTAGGACGGATTCACTCCGTGAAAATGAACATCTTGCCATGCATCCTATTTATGTTCCAGGCACTGCCCATACACCTATCCAAAACCCAGTTACTCCCACTGCAACAATCCATGGGTGCCTTCATATGGCAAAATAAACGTCATAGAATGTCTAGACAGGTCCTTTATAGACCCAAGACGAGGGGAGGACTGGGATTGCCCTGCCTGTATTACTACTACTTGGCTGCTCAATTAGCGCAGGTAGCGATGTGGCAAGCACCCCCAGGCGAAAGGAAATTGGTAGATATAGAATCGCCCATGATAGGAGCCGATCTTCCGCAATTCGCCATGTGGGTACCAAAAGAACATAGACCCATGATCAGGGTTACCTGCCCAGCGATCTTGAATTTACTTAGATTGTGGGACCTAACACATCTAAAATATAATCTAGCATCCTCACCTTCCCCCTTGATGCCCTTTCTCCGTAATAAGGCCTTCACCCCGGGCAGAGACTTCAGGAACCTGGAGCATACAGGACTCCAGAGAATATGCCACTTATACAAAGGCACCGAGATAGTGGGGTTTGACGACCTCGCACAAGGGAGGCATCTCAAGCCGAGCGACTTTTTTAGATATATCCAACTGAAAGATTTTGTAAAACAACCACACATCAGAAGCGCTGCTTTACAACCACTGACGTTTTTTGAGCGCTGGTCCCTTACTGAGAGATTACCCCAGGGTACGATAACGCTACTGTACGCCCATCTCTGCTCAGAGACAATGGAATGGGGTAGACTAACGTATGCTGATCAGTGGGAACAGGACTTGGGTGACGTACTAGAAGGGATTGAATGGCAGGAGACATGGGAGGCAAGTGCTACCACCTCTGTATGTGTGACCCTCCAGGAACAATCCTTTAAAACGATGTTTCGGTGATATACCACCCCGGTTAAACTATTTTGAATGCACAAAACTACAACTGATGTATGCTGGAGGGGTTGCGGTCTCAAGGGTTCTTATCTACACATGTGGGGGGAGTGTCCCAGTATGGTAAGATTCTGGAACCTAGTTAAAAACCTACTGAGGCAGGTGTTTTCCAGGACCGTAGAATTAGACCCCTGGGTATACTTACTTAATAGATCGCTGGAGGGATGGACCAGAACTGAACAAAAGCTTATCCACAAGATCACATTACGCTAGGAAGGCGGTAGCAGCCTCTTGGCTGAAGCCAACCACCCCAGGCATGACAGAAATTATAGCTAGAATTAAAGAGATAAGACTAATGGACGACCTAACAGCCAGAGTTCGGGGGTCCAATAAAGCTTTCCATAAGATTTTGGACCTATGGGATGACAGCGCACTGGGTGAGGACTGAGGCCGCTGCCCATCCCGGCGAGTGGCAGGCTTGATGATTCTCCCCCCACCACTCCGTGCCACTCTTGTGCACTGCCCTATCAGAGAACAATTCGTTACAACAAATTCCCCACGTTCCCCTCTCCCCCCCCTTCTTTCTTCCTACTTTCTACTTCTCTTTTCTTGGACATACCCCTACATCTAAGGGGTCGATATGGAAAGCAAGGCATACAATTACGCATTGGTTCACCAATGACATGGTTTAACTAAAATACGCAATGTGTATACTCACATTTACATGTAACCCATTGCATGCGTAGGCATCGCAGTAAGGCGGAACCACCAAGTTTTGTTTACAAACATGGCTGATTATAATGCAAATCTTTACCAAAAAATTCAAAAACCCTTGGCGGACGGCGACAACTTTACCCATGTGGGTTAAACATAATCTGTATAACATTTATGTATTGTAATTATTCCACACCTATATTATGTCATTCATTTACTATGTGAAACTGTGATGCTTACTATACAAATGTCATACCGCTGTTTCCATACCAAAAAAAAAAAAGGGCTGTTTGTGGCCCATAATAAAGTCAGTTCACTCCCAGCATTAAGTCTCGACTAATGTCTGTGGGGGAAAGCTATACCTGCTATGGAGTTATATTTCTTGGAAAACTATAATCTTCAACAATACTACTATTGGATTTGGTGCAGCATTGTTCCTGAGAGGGGGAAAAATACGTCCTTGGCGGTGAAACCTGTATTCTTATCCGGGTGACCGCCACAACATACATTAAAATACTCCTCAAAGTCAGGATATAAATGTACAGTGATCCCATCGGTAGAGGGGAGCAGCGATGATGTAGGCACACGTAGCCGGTGTCCTCGTGGTGTGTGGCTGGAAAGCGCTTGAGTTAAGGAGAAGGGATAGCTCATGCTGGTGGCTTACCCAGGGCTGGAGGAGGGGAAAGGATGGCGTGTAATTCGAGTGAGAGGTCCTGTCTGAATGCAGCCTTGCCCCTAGGGAGCAAAACGATAGGCAACCTAGGAATACAAAAAAGAACACTGAGCACCTCATGATGCATGAATAAGATACACAGGAGAAATACTGAAGCCAGACTAAAGCTAAGTGTATAGTTGATGTAACGGAAATAATGGCAAATTACAGGCTCCACTAATTGTAATGTAAAAATAAGGAGCTGGAAGCCCTGAGACACTCTCAACAACCACTTCTCTACCATGGTGCTCCTGTGGCTGTATACCAGCAGGGCGCTGAAACCCATCACTGGAAAGCAAGGCACCAGGAACCTTTGATATCACTGGGGATTCCCCTTCACACTCACTGCCACCTTTAAAGGTGCCTCACATACCATTGCAAACCCGCAAGACGTGCCTGTGTTCCTGAGAGCAATGGACTTCCCTAATGTTCAAATCACGGACTGGTATGGCCCTATTCCTCCACCAAACGCACCCCCGAGACTGCCGCAACGCAACGGCTGGCAAGCCAAGATAAGAACGAGCATAGAGTAAGCTGCGGCCAAGACTCTGGTCACGCAAGTAACCTTTATTCTGAGGACAGAGAGGGGGACTCACCGGGGCACTCCCAATCCCGTACCTATTGTGAGATGCCAAATGCTATATGCTATGGGACACCTTCTCACAAGGCCGGCATTGACTGCTGCACTAATGTTACATTTTAAGATCAAAGAAAAAAAAGTTACCTGTGCTCTTTCCACACCCCTATGTATTTTTAAACAAATGGAGGTTTTTAGTTACCTCCAATGGCCATGAGAGGGTATGCACAGCTGCCACGTCAGGACAGACCTCTTAGGTGGGTCCTAACTCTAACCATTCACCTTGCTTCCTTTAGCTTCTGGCAAAAATATCTCTGAGACAGAAAGGGGTATTTTTTTATATACATCCCTACATGCTTATTAACCCTTAATAGGGAACACCTGGGATGGGCAGCAGCATTGTAACCTAGCTGTGTGATACAAAAGTGAATACAAATACAAAGAAACGTCCTGCGCTCAAACTCCCATTACTCCTGGGCGACAGCAATGACCATAGTACACATCAGCCAAAATACATATAGTAAAAACCAAAGGAAAAAAGTTACCTGCGCTCTTTCCACATCCCTATGTATTTTTAAACAAATAGAGGTTTTTAATTACCTCCAATGGCCATGAGAGGGTATGCCCACCTGCCACATCAAGGCAGACCTCTTAGGTGTGTCCTAACTCTAACCATTCACCTTGCTTCCTTGAGCTTCTGGCAAAAATATCCTTGGGGGGGACTTTAACTTATCCCTAGACTCCCTACTGGACACAACATCCCATACTACGAGATACCAAACTTCGGCACGTAACCAAATGACAAAATTGTTGGACCAGGCTCAACTATATGATAGTTGGCGCACCCATCCGACAAAGTATTTCCTATTACTCATATGTAACGCGCACATACTCTAGACTAGACATGGTCTTTATCCCACACAGGTTATACAATCAAGCAGCTATGGTTCGATAACGTGGTCCGACCATGCACCTCTGTCACTTGACATAACAATCCCCAATCTCCCACAGAAATCATTCCAAAGGAAACTGAACTACCTCCTCCTTAATGACCCCGACATAGTCTCCCACCTCAGGGAGTCCCTTCATACCTACTTCACCACCAATACAACCCCCGACACACACACCCCCGTCACATGGGAAGCACATAAGTGCATGTAACGGGGAGAAATAATCACGCTGGCATCCAGACACAAGAAACTCAGGGAGGCCAAAATCCAACATCTTAAAGATGAAATTAAGACTCTAGAAACCATGCACAAACAGGATACAAGACTAAGCACGTACACGAGCCTCACAGCTAAGAGATCAGCACTACAAGACCTGTTAAATGCCCAAATCAAACACGCACTCGTACACACAAAACACTCTTACTACTCTCAAGGGGGCAAATGCGGTCGCTTGCTCGCAAATGCCCTGAAGCAACAAAGGCAATCGACTTTCATCTCTAAAATCAGGAAAGCCTCATGAACCTTATCTTAAAAAACTCCCTGACTTCCTTCCACAATGTTTATACCAACCTCTACAACCTCAGGGACTCCTCTCCCTCAGAGCAAGACATCGAGGAATTCCTAACCTCCGGAATCCACCAAAACATTCCCACAAATTTAGTGCCCACCCTAGACGCCCCAATATCATCTGACGAAGTCCAATCCGCCATAAACCAACTTAAATTAGGGAAAAGCCCGGGCGGGTTCACAGCCAGAAATACTACAAGACATTCATGACACCTTTTGTGCAAGCCTTTAACTCTCTTGCAAAAACAGTGTTCCTCCCTACGGCATCCCTAGAAGCACACAACCATCATCCCTAAACCCAGTAAAGACTTAACCAGCTGTGGCAGCTACCGTCTGATTTGCCTAATCAACCTAGACTTAAAACTATTTACGAAGATTCTAGCTAACTGTCTACGTCCCATACTCCAAACCCTGATCTACCCTGACCAAGCCGGATTTGTTCCAAATAGGGAAGCCAAACACAATACCACATTGCAAAACGCTGCCGACAGCCTCCTACTCTCCACTGACATGGAAAAGGCGTTTGATAGAGTAGATTGGACGCTACTAATAACCAATCTGCGAAAGCTGGGCTTAGGCCCTTGCTGGATACAGGCCATATACTCCTTCCCTACTGCGCGGCTCTGGATCAATGGCCAACTCTCAGACCCAGTACACATAAGGAACGGAATGAGACAGGGTTGCCTCCTGTTCCCCCTCCTCTTTATTCATACAATCCTGAATTAGGGAGAACCCAAACATCCAGGGCATACGAGTACAACAAGCAGAATATAAATTAATCACATTCGTAGACGACCTTCTCTTGACTATACAAATGCTCAAATCCTCAATTCCCCCCCTGATGGAGGAACTATCCCTTTACAACACACTCTCAAACTTCCAGGTCAACTTTTCAAAGAGTGAAATACTACCACTGCAAATGGCCCCTCAGACGTGCGCACTCCTAACATCGCAATTTCCTTTCACATGGGCAGACAAAGACATCACGTACCATACGCCTGTCAGTTACCCTAACCTCCATCTTTGACTTAAATTACAAACCACTATTCCAATCCATCTCCAAGGACCTGCAGGCCTGGCAAAAACCACACTTTTCCTGGCTCTGCAGAATAAATATCCTTCCGAAAATACTTTACTTGTTCCAAACACTACCCATAGCCATACCCAAATCCTTCTTTGCCAAGCTTAAACGCCTCTTTACCACCTTCATCTGGGCACATAAACAACCCAGAATCTCATATTGAATAGACACAGATCCTGTGGTGGCCTAGGTCTCCCTCATATGGAGAGATACGACAAGGCAACAATGTTAAGGAGTGTGACGTACACCCCGAGTATGAAGGGGTATTTTCCGTCAGAGACATACTATTCCCTTAGTAGGAGCAGGGCTGCAGGGTTCTCCAGTAGGTATTGCAGCCGACCACAAATCCAATAATGTTGTGAAGCTCTTACAAGAGCTAGTGATATAGCTGCGAAGCAGATTCCCTACAATCATGAGACCAGGCTACATGTTGAGGGTTAAGCAGGAATGGTTTAATGGTAGCCACACTGGCCTTTTATGCATGTCCCCAAGCAAAGGTGACATCCACATGGACCTTGTTGGGGACAGGGTCACAAAGGTATACACCAATCACAATAGAATTACAGTCTGAGGCACTCCCACACATGGCATACAATCCTTCCCCTCTTTTTGGGAGATAATTGAGTTAATTACTGTATCAACTCCATTATCTCCAAATGAAAAAAGATCACATTTTATACACTTTCTGGAAACACCCCAAAATTCCATAAAAAGTATATCCCCTGAGCAACTGGGTGAGCAACATATTACAAAATTAACCAGATTGGTTCAGGGGTTCGGGAGTTGTATGGAAGTCCCATTTCTGACCGACCACACATGAGGCTCCTGCCCAGAATAATTCCATAAAATCAGCTTTTGCACTTTAAAACATCAAAAAATGTCTCAAATAACTTTGTGTGAAATGTCTCGAATAACTGTTTGTGTGGAAGTTAGTCGTGTGCCTCTTTGTTCGGGAGTTGGTTTTCACCGAACACCGCCTCTTTCGGATGGAATAGGACAAAGCTAAGCGATCCTGGAAGTCTCAGCGGTGTTCGGGCCGTTGCGTGTCTGAAAATAGTTCCATACACTGGACGACCAAACTCCGCTGGACGTGTTTCACAAAACAAGATAGTGTTCGTGCATACAAATTAACGGCCACCCAGTGAGCCACTTAGAATGTTCAGAGTTGCAGTTTGAAACAGTGTCAATAAGGTCAATTGACAGCACACGACTGCTCTGGGTGGTCTAAGGGTAAAGTATGTTTGTTTTGGGTCGTATACAGGGCATCTGTTACGATCCCAGTGCCCACCGACACACCAATGGACGATACTGGAGGCAACGCAGGGAACACTCACAGAACACCCCACTCGAATGCTCTAGATCACCCCTGCGCACATCACACATACCAGAGGGAGCAGCCACGGGGATTCAACTGCGCGTAGCTTGCCCACACAGGCAAACCGTAGCTAACACCGAGGGTGAACGGGCGCTAAGCTAAGCCCACCCAAACAGACTGCCCAAATGACCCTCAGGGTGCCAACGCAACCCCCCTGATTGCGATGTCATAGACTGAACCCCACTCACACACAACTTCAAACGACATTGTCTGTAAATTCACTCTTTTTATTGATATGTTTGCACAACTAGCCGTAACACTGCGGGCCCTACCCTATAACACTGCTACAGACAAACAGGGAAGTTTAAACCGCTTATTATGACATGACAAAGTTTCAGCACCTGTATTGCCAGATAACCCTGCTAATCTACCTGCTAGATTAAAATAATTTAAAATGTGCACAGTTTTTTTTTTGTTTTTTTTTAACATGCCATGATGTGTTTCTCGTTCTTATAATAATAAAGGGTCTGCTACAACTGTTGTGGCATAGCAAACCAGATTGTCCATGCATGTACAAACAAAAATAAAGAATATAAAAAAAAAACAAATTTTGTTACTTCTATTCACTATTATGTATTTATCTTCCGTTTTTATGTACACATTTTTTTCTTTCTTTTTTTTAATGTATATCCTTTGTGAGTAAACTGTATATAGATACCACCATGGACTGCTAAACAGAACGGACATTGAGTTTTTAACCCAATACATTAATGGGTTAAATCATTTTGCAAACCAAAAACATGAAGAGACAGGTTGGAAGTGAAGTGCATCTTGGTATTGGGAGTTCCGAAAGGCAACTGGAAGTGACGTGACACTAAGTGAGCATCATGAAGAACTACTGGAAGATCTGGATTGGATAATTAGAAGAAAGGCCTTTAAGTACAGATCAAAAAGATCAAGCTTGGTACCAAATAGAGCAATCACTAGAAGAGACAGATAATCTGAACGCCCTATTTTGGGCAACAAGAAAGGAGAAAAATAAGAGCAAACCAGTATGTTCAGGAAATTCGATTATTATTGACAATATCTTGAGATACTGGAATAAAATTAAGAAAGACTGTAAAATAGAATATAGATTGTTTCCATTCTTACCCATAGAGGTGATTAAGGGGAATATTGAGGATATTAATATCAGCGGATGGTCACAGAAGGGAATTAAGAATATCCAAGAGATTATAGATAGAAAGGAAATCAAGCCATTCAACCAGCTACAAACAGAGTTTGGGATTGATAACAAGGAGATAGTTACATATTTAGGAATTAAGTTTTAGTTGGCGAAATTCTTAGATTTCCAGTTTAATAAAAACTCAAGTAATCTTAAAAAGATTCTGGAAACTCAAAGAATTAAAGGCCATATTACTAGATGTTATGAGTTTTTAAAGGACTCTAAGAAGTCCTATGTCTGGAAATTTAAGAACAAGTGGGAAAAAGATCTACATATTGAAATTACTGAGCAAGATATTATAAGTGCGATAGTTAAGGTAAATAAATCGGTACATTGTCTTAATATAGTAGAGAATTTTTATAAACTCATAAACAGATGGTATTTGGTCCCATAAAAACTGGCTAAAATGTATAAAGATAGGAATCATGCTTGTTGGAGATGTGATGATGGGAAAGGAGATTATCTCCATATATGGTGGCAATGTCAATTTTTAAACAATACATGGAAGAATATCTATCAACAGATTTATAATACCTGTCAGATATATATACCTTTCACACCACAGAGTTTTTTGTTACATCAGGAATGGCCCCCTATGCCTGTTGAAAAAAGCATGTTAATAATTCACATTTTAATGGCAGCTAGGCACTGGAAAAGCAATAAAGTGTTAGAGTGGGCTGAAATTAAAAAACAAATAATATACCAATGGAAAATGGAAACTGGAATAATTCAAGGAAACTCTGAGGGTCTGAGTAAAATCAGTAGGTGGAAAAATATAGTTGACAAGTTTATGGCTTGTAATGAAGGATTATAATATAGAAAGTTTGAGATGCCCCCGCAGTGTGTTTGATTCCGGAGAGAAACTAGCGAAAGTTGCACCCATATGGGAAGTAAAGGCATAAATGGTTAAAATAATGCTGGTTCCTCGGGAGTGTATGTGTCTTTTAGTGTGAATGGTGTATGGTGATACCTCAATTCTGCCATCTATGTAATTTATAGATACTGTAATCCTATTGCGGTTTATTTTAGCTCTGTAATGTATGGATTCTTATGTGTATGTATTTAAAGTTATACGAACTATTGTTGGCATAAAAAGTACTTTATAGACATCTGCTTTAATGGGAACATATTTATTTGTATATTTGTAATGCTCATTGAGATATTGTACGTATTTTGATAATGTTAAAACAAAAATTTAGTTTGAAAAACTAAAATATATATAAAAAAAAAAAAAGAAGAAAGGCTACAAAAACCGGACAAAGTACAATGGAGATTACGCCAACTGAGGAAGCCGAAAAATGAGGCGAAACGCATCTTGGCGATAAGAGGAATACTTGTATATTATTCACATCTTTTATTATTATTTTTTCTTATGTTATATTTTAATGTTTAAATTTTTATATATCTTCAATAAATTCATCATTTACCTCTATCTGCATATTGTACCTGGTTCTGATAAGAGTAGTGTGACTCTGCAACTTGACACAAAGCCAGCACACTTAGGGCCAGTTACCAAAAAAAAAAGGCTCTAAAAAAGGTGAGCACCCATCTTCTATTATAGTTTGGATCAATCCACTCTATAACTTGATATACTACACCTAGAGATTTTCTATTTGTTTCCTCTTCTATATATATTATATCATGGAGAGGAACAGAGAGAAACCAAAGCTATAAGAGGGGTATTGCTGTCTACCTTAAAGACACAGAAGTGCTAATGTTTAGAGCCTAAATCTAAAGAAAAGGCTCTTAAAAATGTATGTTTATTTTCACTCACTGACATCAAACTAGCCCACTTATTCCATACAATACTGTACCATCTTTTGTCTCTTTATTTCATGTATACCTCCTAAAACACATTTTTAAAACGCATGCGTCGCACCCCCCCCCCCGAGCCGATACATGGACCAATTATATAGGTGGTGTCACATCGCTGCTCCAGCACCTTATAAGGGCCCCGCCACCCGGCCTGTAGCTTGTCATGCAGGACGGGTTTTAAAATTAAAACCTTCTGCCCAACCTGAAAGCTATGGTCCCTGGTGCTCGGATCATACCAGGTGCGCTGGCGTGTCTGAGCCGCCTGAAAGTTCTCCCGTACCACTCGGGTTAATTCCTCCAGTCAGTTCCGGAACTCCAGCACATAGGGTATGATGGGAGTACCAGTCTTTTTAAGCTCCTGGAACCGCCTCCGGTATGCTTCTGGTGTCATGGCATATGTGGCCAGTATGATTTCCTTAACCCGGTTGTAATCCCTTAATTCCTCGTCTGGTACCGTGCGGTACACCTCTGCCGCTCTCCCCGTTAGCCGACCTGCTAAAATGGGGACCCAATCCTCAATATTGATCTTATGTAGGTTACACAGTCTCTCAAAGTCCTCGAGGAATGCATCAATATCTTCCTCTGCTTCCACATAGGTTTTAAATGCCTGATACGGTATCTTTGGCTTGCTCTCCTGTACCATGGGCACTGTTTGGTTCCTCTCTGGAGGTTGCTGGACCCTTCGTCTCAGCACAAACTCCTGCACCTCCGTCATGGTTCTGGAGATAATATCCGCTGGTGGGTTTTCCCCGTAGAATGATTGCAGTTCTCTCTGAAATTCCAACCGCTCCTGTTCCTCAGCTGGGTTGCTCTGTACCAGAGCCGAACCACCCTCTGCTCTGTATTCAGCCATGACTTCCACAACCAGAACTGCCTTGGTCTTATTGCTGGCGGAGATACCCCTTGCCTCCAGAAGATCCTTTAAAGTGGATCGCTTTAATGTGGTGTAATCGATCTCCATCCGTGACCCATTGGTGCTGTTGCCTTTCCTGGTACTTGTTCCTCTGTGAGCCTGGATCCCGACGCTGCCAACCAATGTTGCGGAGAGCTGATTTCCCACAGCCTATTTCTGCTGGTATCCTAGAATGGCTCAGGAACAAGTAGTAAATCCAATAGGGTAACAAGCACAATCAGCAAGGCAATCCAGTAATATCCCATCACCTTTCCCAATAACTGGATGACACACAGTATCAGGAGTAGAACTTAACTAACTTTTAATCACACAACCCCTGCTTTTATGCAATGCTCCCATGCAAGGGAGCCACCCACAATAATTAGTACATTAACCAATAAAGTACAAGGTACAACCCACACATCTCCTCCCATCAGCTTATCTGTTAACAGAATTAAAATGTACATATTTTTCCCCAAGTTTTAGATGTACCCCAAATACATATGGTGCACCCCTAAATGTGGTATCCCCTGATAGCCCTGATCTGGGTGAATAACATAGTCAAAAATCACCCAGATCGGACCAGGGGTTCGGGAGTTATGGAGGTTAAAAAGTTAGGTTGAGTTCCCTTTAGGACCACTGAAACATGGCTTTCCAGCCCAAACTTTCCAGCCCAAACCAGTTCCAACTAGTCTGGCAGTGTGCCTGGGACAATGTCCTGCTGGAGAACAATGGGACAGGAAACGGGGGAGGGGTACACCTTCCTATACACAGTCTAATAGAAGTTCATACTAAAAACGTTTATTTTCAAATAAAAAATTATGAAGGAAATGTGTTGGACAGCCAGAGGGGTTCTGCTACAAATATATCCAAATACATCTAATAGATGTTGGCAGTGCAACATTGATAAGGTCACCTTATAACACATATGGTTGTAGTGCCAATAGAATTACACACAAATAGAATATTGGTATAGATACATTAGAATTTTTAAAATAAAATTATCGCGGGTCTCTCATCCAGGTAAATGGAATGAAACAAGGAGGGGGACAGAGAGATGAATAGTATGTTATGTAATGAAGTGGCAAGGGGTTTTCCCATTCACCCGCCTTCCATGTCCGACAAAAAAAGCAATTAAATAAAGAGTGAATGGATGGGTCAAATGGACGTATAAAAGAAAATAATTGAGGACGGTAGTTCAATCAAAGAGACAAAAGGGCCCTCTCTCTCCAAATAAAGATAGGGAAAAGTCAGATAAGAAAGTGAGACTAAAAGGGATAATATAGGGATAACTAGAAAAGCTAAAATTTCTGGGGAAATTGTGTGAAGTGTTCTTGCCTCCACCAGTAGTCTACAACTGGAGTGGGCGGAGTAACTTATCATTTATATAGCACATTTAATTGCAACGTTGTTGCACAGTTACATTAAACCATACATTTATAAAAACATTAGCAGGTGTTCAAAAGGCCCTGTCTATGACATCACTTGCTGCTGCAGCCTGGCACAGGTCAGAGTATTTTGGCGGTTGCCATCTTCAAACGGTCGTATTTTAAAAACTATAAATCCTACAGTGAAGAGCTTTATATTGTGAGAATCACAAGACCCAGACCTACGTTTTGATGCATAGTATGTTTCTGAAGTATTAAAAATGAAGGCACAGTCGCAGTTTAGAAATTGCACTTCAAATTTGAGCTTTGTAGAGTGAAGTTTCAATGAAAGTCAATGGACGGCGTTAGTTGCAAACAAATGATGATATTGTGAAAACTATCAGGACTATGGCAGTGGCAGTTTAGAAATCACGTCCTGATTTTTCAGCTTTTGCCAGCTCCCACTCTAGCTTTGCCATTCATTCCTATGGGACAAATTGCGCCACAATAACGACGATATTCCGTGAACCATTCGGCGAAACGTTCCACAAAGTAATAGCAATCCGATCGGGAACAATCTGCACGTTTTGGTAAATTTTTGTCTATGTAAATTTGGCTAGAATAAGAATAAGAATAATAATATATATGTGAGATAACAATAAGTGGTCTTGCTATGCAAGAACACTTAATTAGGAAACGGATGGGGTAGGGGGCAGGAGGAAAAAAATAGGGGAACATACAATGAATTAAAAGTTAAACCTATGAAGTTTTACTATAGTTAAGTAAAGAAGAAGTATTGTTAATGATGATAGAGAGACCTCAAAGCTGCTTATTTTATGTAATAGTTTTAATAACTATACAATGGTAAGGTATCTATCTGAAGTACAGTAAAAGGAAAAAAAAGTACAGTGATCCAGATATAGATAATATCTTCTTCAGTATTTAATCACCTAAATAAAAAAAAACATATAAAACCACATAAAAACTACAACATATGGAATAAAATAGCACACATATAAAGTTCAGAAAGGCACATCAGAAGGTCAGAGGACAGGGCGTGGCCTGGCTGCTAGCCAAGATGGCCACCATTCATTAAATCTCTGCAATGAATGGAACGAAAACTCTTTCAAATCCTACTTCAATATGTGAGATTTCATGTGAATTGTACTAGCTTATGAAACATACGAATGCACAAGAAGACCTTCAAACCGACAAATTTGTTGAATTTCACTGAGAAAGTAACTTTTACACGAACGTCCAAGATGGGGACTGAAAAGCTGCAAAAGCTGCGAATGGCCACGCCATTTATAACTTAAAAAAATCGAACAGGGATGTCATTCAAACTAAAGTCCGAAACGGGAGAT